CAGATGGCAAACAAGGACATGAAGAAATGTTCAAAATCCCTAGCTCTAAGAGAGATGCAAATCAAAACAACTATGAGATATCATCTCACCCCAGTAAGAATAGCAAAAATTAACAGAACAGCAAACAACAAATGCTGGCGCGGTTGCAGAGAAACGGCAACGCTTATTCACTGTTGATGGGAGTGTAAAATGTTGCAACAACTATGGAAGGCAATATGGTGCTTTCTCAAAAATTTGCAAATAGAAATACCATTTGATAAAGCAATTCCTCTACTGGGAATATACCCCAAAGAGACCATATTGCCACCCAAGCAGATATATGCACACCCATGTTTATCGTGGCTTTGTTCACAATAGCAAAGGAGTTGGAAACAACCTAAGTGCCCATTAACAAACAAATGGATAGAGAAGCTCTGGTATATTCACACAATGGAATATCATGCTGCATTGAAAAACAAGGAACTCATAAAATATTATACAAAATGGATGATCCTGGAGGACATTATGTTGAGTGAAATATCTCAGTCACAAAAGGACAAATACTGCATAGTGCCACTGCTGTAAAGTGGGACTGACATCGGGGTTGGGAAAAACTAAGAGGGGATAAATAATGTCTACTGCATTGACATAGATGAGGGAGAGAACTGTGTAAAAGGAATATATGATTAAGTATTATTTTTATGACAAGATTCCAGAAAAAGAAATGAATAGTAAAGTGGACTGTGGACTTGGGGTTGGGGGGACTGTATAAAAATGAAATAATTTTTTTCTTTTCAAAGTGAAAAGTGAACTGGGGGAAGTGGTGGACAGGGAGGAAAATGTGCAACAATGAATGAATGGAAAAAAAATTAAATTGGAAGAATATGCCATAAAAAATATTAAAAAGATTAATAGATGAGGGAGAGAACTGTTTAGGAGGAATACATGATTAGTTATTATTGTCATGACAAGAGCCTAGAATGAAAGCTGCATAGTGGAGTGGACTGGGAGGTGGGGAGATTATATAACAATGAAAAACATAATTTTTTTTTTACTTTTCAAAGAGAAAAGCAAACTGGTGGAGAGGGGTGGGCAGGGAGGAAAAGTGCAACAACGAATTAATGGAAATCCAAAGTCTCTGTAAACTTTCATTAAAATTTTTAAAAAAGAAAAATTCATTTGCTTTGTAATTTTCACTTAAATAATAATAATAATAATAAAATTCAATATATTAGAAATATTCAACTCATTGTCATTAAAATAAAAACTAATCCCTAGTTGACCCTTCATTGTGTTTCCAAGGCTGTAGGTCACGCCATCTTTCTCTCTTAGAACCCCTGGTGGACTTGAACTTCCAGAGAGGTTTGACCTTTGAGTTAGCAGGTTAGCAGTCCAACTCTCTACGGTCTAGGCCATCAGATTTTATTATTATTATTATTATTAATAATAACAAGAACACAATTAAAATGGACAAATAAAGCTAGATTAATCAGGTGGATCCAGCAGGAGGCAATAAGGTCAGGGTCAGACAAAGAGATGTGGCAATGCAAGCAAACATCAGAAAGAAATAACAAGAACTTGGAAATGCTAAAGTGTAAACGTTGGAAAAGGAGACGCAGGCTGTGAGCCAAGAGATGCAAGCAGCCTCTAGAAGCTGCAAACAGCAAGGAGACAGAAGCTTCCATAGAGCTTCCAAAACAAATACAGTATTGCTGACATTATTGGCTTGAAACAACTAAGTTGTTATTGTCATCGTAGAAAACTAATACACTCAAAATACCTAGGGATGGGAAAGTTATGGAAGAAACTAGAGCTATACCCTGTTGGTAGAAGTGTGCATTGTTACTGCATGCATCTCAGCCATTTATGGGCATTCTCTTTGACCTAACATATCAATTTATCCTCAGGGAGGTCTGTAAAGCTGTGTATGCGTGAGGATGTTCATTACAGTCTGACTGAAGGAGGGCACAAGGGATATCACTGTTGCTGTCAGATGGATCTTGGGTAAAAGTAGAGAATACAAAAAGATATTTACTTGTGTTTTATTGATTATGCAAAGGCATGTGACTGTGTGGATCATAAAAAATTATGGCTAACGCTGACACGAATGGGAATCCCAGAACACTTAATTATGCTTATGTAAAACCAAACATAGACCAAGAAGCAGTTGTCTGAACAAAACAAGGGAATACTACATGGTTTAAAATTAGGAAAGGTGTGCATTAAGCTTGTATGCTTTTTTCATATCTATTCAATTTGTGTGCTGAGCAAATAATTCAAGAAGCTGAGCTCTATTAAGAATATGACATCAGGATTGAAGGAAGATTCATCAACAAACTGTGATACTTAGTTGACACCAACTTGTTTGCAGAAAATGACGTTTTGAAGCACTTACTAATGAAGAGAAAAGACTATAGCCTTCAGATTACATCTCAACATTAAGAAAACAAAAAATTGGGGGGGGAGGGGTTTGTGCGGGGAGAAGGGTGCAACAAAGAATGAATGGAATCCCAAAATCTCTGTAGATGTTCATTGAAATGAAAAATAAACAACCTAAATTAAAAAAAAAAGAAAACAAAAAATTCTCACCACTAGGAAACATCAAGGTAGATGGAGAAAAAAATTTGTATCGTCAAAAACTTCATTTCACATGGGTCCACAATCAATACCCATGGTGGAAGCAGCCAAGAAATCAAAAGACACATTACCTTGAGATAATTTGCTGTCAAGGAACTCTCCAAAGTGCTAAGGAGAAAGAGAGTCAGCTTAAAGGCTACGGTATGTCTGATTCAAGCCATAGTATTTTCAATTTCTTCCTATGCACCTGGAAGTTGGGTAATGAATAACGATGACAAAAGAATTGATGACTTTGAATTGTGGTATTGGAGAAGAATACTGGATATCCCACGGACTGACAAAGAACAAACAAGTCTGTCTTGGAGGAAATACAATTAGGATGTTCCTTAAAGGCAAGGATGGTCAAAATTTATCTCCTATTCTGTGGGCATGCTGCCATTAGAGAACAGTCCTTGGAAAAAACCCATAATTTTGGGAAAGGTAAAGGGCCACAGAAAGAGAGAAAGACCCTCAGCAAGATGAACTGACACAGTGACGACCACGATGGGCGTGAGCTAGTCAGAGATCCTGCGGATGGTGCCAGACAGGGCAAGGCTCAGCTCTGTTGTTCACAGGGTTCCTACAGTCATAGTCACCTTGAAGGCATGTAAAAGCAACATCTGAAACCATTTACCTGTTCATTTTTCATTTTGAAAAAAAATGTAGAAAAAAGTTATAAGAATTATCAAAGAACTCTTATACATCCTCCCTGGATTCATCCTTTATTAACAATTTACCTGACAATTTCTTTCTTTCTGAATCACTAAATGCTTGTAAGTGGTGAATTAAATTATCATCCAGCCATAGGAGTGGCATCCACTTCCTAAACAGCATGCCTCTGGGAACTCTGGAACTTTGATAAATGGCGATGGTTATGGAGGGGCTTCATGGGGTTGCTATGTGTCGTGCTTGACTCGACAGCAATCAACACAATAACATACAATAGAATAGTGCACAGCAAACTTTTAAGCAATTTGGATGTGTGAACTTGGCATCACATTCATTCATGCACTCAACAAATAATCCTTAAAGTGCTAAATCCCCGTCCCCACCACCAAAATAAATGGGGAGAGAAGTAATTCTCAAGGTATGAATGCACCAAGTATTCCGTCGCTGCTATTGCTTGCTCATGCTCTTTTTTAATAGCCTCAGCTATGCTTATCATACGCCATTCTCACTATAATCCTACAAGGAAGGGGTGCCATTGTGTTGAAAAGTCCATGGTGCAGAGAAAAATTTCCATGCTTCAAGTGGGAGCAGTGCCAGAATCTGCATCAGACCTTTGTAGTACCAACGCTCACATTCTGTAGTGGTACCTCCTGCTCCCACCTCATTCGATTTACTCTACAATGATTTTAGATTTACCCACGAGTTGTTCATTGGTCCTGTCCCTGTGCTCATTTTATCTGTTGGCTCCTACAGTGACTCATCTGAAGTTCACCCCAGGGATTAGAGCATCTTAACAAGGGTCGGGTGGGACAGAGCAGGACATCTCCCCTCAAGGCCCTACAGAGCTGAGGGTTAGGATCAACAAGTCTGTTCTTGTATGTGTCCACATCGACTTACTCTATCTAGAAAATGGTAAGTGAAGGCAAGCATCCTGCTGAGTGTGTCTCAGTCAAGGCTCACAAGGCTCATTATGAGGGCAGCTTCTTCCTACCGTGTTCACATGAGACTTGAAAAATGAGCTTGTGCTGCTGGCACTGAGGAGCTAAAGCCTTTGATGCAAGAGAAGAACATGTGGGTGAGTGGAAACCACAGGAAAAAGGGGCAGGTTCTAGAGGCATCTACCCACAAATTTGTCATGTGGCCTTGGCAGTCTGGCCCTTCTCTGAGGCTCTTGAAGTCAGGATCCTGGATGAGATCATTCTAGATCTCAAAGGTATCCTTCATTGGGGTAGGACCCTGGCAATTCTTTTAGATTACAGGTGGAGGCTGCAAAGATGATCTGTTCCAGTTTCTGTCATCAGTGAGCAGGCCTAACCTGAGACTCAATGGCCTGTCCACCCTCAGAACTGCAAAGCTGTCTGAATCTCTGACTCATGAATAAATAGCACTACTTGCTCACCACAAAATAAAGAATATAGAAAACTCCGTGGATTCTCTTGGCTCATCATTTAAGTGTCATCTCTTAAGAAACATAAATGTTCTTGAGAAACAGAAACATTCAAGCTGCTGGTGAGAATATTTGACCTCGATAAACCTGACTCACTTGGAATCAGGTGTAGAAGCCAACAGGCCCTACCAAGCAATGACACCTTATGGCTCTGCTTACAGCAACTTCCATCACCCGGTTGACCGTTGTGTGTACATTTTAGCACCCGGACACCCTGTGGTCCCCCCATGGTGAGCCTTCTCTTCAGAGCCTGTGAGGATGTGGCAGTTAGTGAAGTGAGACCTACCTGCCATCTTTTTTTCAAAATAGGGCTGGATGAGGTTGCTGTATCCTGACTTCGCTGCCACAGCCTCTTTCAGCAGTTTCCCACAGCAGACTGGAGAAGAGAGGAACAGAGAGATGCTGTTAAATTTTAAATAGAAGGAAGAATGAGGGGAAGGGGGTGGGGCGGGAAATAAAGCCTAGTGCTGCCTGCTGGGAGAGGGGAGAAAAAAAAGGTCACTGTAAAAATATAAAAGGGTTTTTTTTCCTTTGTGTGGGTGTGTGTCCAAGTGAAAATAAATATCAAAAAGAAACCAGGACATAAAAAGAGAAGCTGAGGAGGAAGATGTGCAATGAAAAAGAATGCATTTGGCAAAGATCGTATTAAAAATGAACGGGCGAGGAAGACACTAATGAGGGGTGTCGCCAGCCTGGGAACTCCTGCAGAGCCGCCTTACACCTGCAGTCACTGAAGTCTACCGAAGTTCCCCAGGTCAGTGGGGAGGAATCACATTCAGGGCGAGAACGACTTAACTAGGTGCTGAGCTATTTGCCAGGAGGGTGTTCACATCCTTATGCCACAGGACAGGGCGCAGACGCTGTGGCCTCCTATTGGCAAGGTGTGTCCATGGACTGGTGGGCCACGGTGTGGAGCCCACACTACAGAGTTAAGTCATGTAATAAACAGACCAATGCGTAATTAAAAGGCACCATACTGCGGTTGGCTGGCTAGGTGCCTTGCTATCCCCCTTTAGATGCATGCCCTGCAAGCAGGAGCTTTTGTATCACCAGCCTCCCTGCATCTCCAGTCCTGGGCGGGCCAGCACTCAAGAGGCGTCAGCCGACAGATGTTGAGTCCTTAAACACAGGCTACCATCTCCTGATGCCTTTGAACTGTGGTGTTGAAGAAGAGCACGGATTATTCCATGGAACACAAAAAAAAAAAACCCCAAACAGCTATGTTTTGGGGAAAGTGCAGCCAGAGTGCTCCTTGGAGGCAAAGCTTCATTTCTCATCTCTTTAGACATGTTGCTAGGAGAGGTGCTATTATTCATTGGGAAGAGATGTCATGCTTGGAAAGGTGGAGGGTCAGCAAAAGAGAGGAAGACCCTCAACGAGATGGACTGATATGGAGACTACAGAATTGGGCTCATGCATGTCTGAGATGACGAGGATGGCAGAAGCTAGGGCAGGGTTCAGGTCTGCTGTTCCTCCGGTCATTGTGAGTGACACTTGACTCAATAGTATCTAATAACAGTCATCTCCTGAAGAGGCCTTGGTGGTGCAATGGTCAAGCTCTTGGCTGCTCATCAACAGGTCAGCAATTTGAACCTATCCTACAGCTCCACAGGAGAAAGATCTGCTCCCATAGATTCCAGCAATATTCTTATAAGCTGTTTGTTTGGTTTTGGGTGGTTTGTGTTTTTTGGTGTTTTTTTTTTTAAAGAGTTGTTTTAAAGTCCTTGTGTGTTAATTCTAACATATGTGCCCTCTATCTGATTTTATGGCCTGCTTTCTCTCCTAGTATGTGTCATAATTTCTTCTCTTCTATATATAGTTTTTAATTATATGTTGGACATTGTAAATATTTCATTGTTGAGAGTCTATATTGTGTGGTTCTACTTTTAAAAATATTGAGTTAAAAATAGTTAAGTTCTAGCAGGCAGTTAATATTTTGGAGGATTCAAGCTGATTTTCCTTCAGATGTCCCACCTGAATGTCCAGTGTGTTCCACACAGTCCCTCCACTTTGAATATCAGGTTTCCAACACTCCATTCAGTTCAGTTTCCCAGGAAGTGTTCTCTACCTGGATGCATGCAGTCTCTCTTTACACTGGTACAACTTGGAACTCACCAAAGACTCACAGGGACCAGATGCATATTTCCACTGGGCCTGGTGGCACAATGATTGAGCATTCGGGAGCTAACGAAAAGATTGGCAGCCTGAATGCACCATTAGCTCTACAAAAGAAAAGACCTGGTGGTTTCTCCCTTTAAACTTAACAGCAGAAGCCTGGGGGCCACGGGGTAATTGTGTGTCAGAACTGACTCAACATCATATTCCAACCACATTATAAATATGCTTAAAACTTTAAAGAAAAACATAAAAACAATGAGTGAACAGATGAGGAATCTCAGAAGAGAAAGGGAAACTGTAAGAAAAGTCAGACAGAAATTTTAGAACTAGATCATATTGCATTTCACCTTTTTTTTTTAATCCCTAGATGGACTAAAAGTGGCAGACTGTAGGCTGTAGGAGGTAAAAGATGCATGATTTTGAAGACAGAAAAGCAGGACAACAGAATATTTCCAAATTTAATAAAGAGAAGGGTTAAAGGACAGGGCCTTGGGGACCCAGAAGACAAGAATGTGAACAAAAATATATCAAGCACTCGAAGATAAATGTAAGTAGAACTCCAGAGGAGGGAGAAAGGGACACAGCAGTGAGAAGGACAGTGAGAGTAAAAAGGGCAGAATACACGACATAAACACTCTTCCAAGCATCCTGGAAAATCTAAAACCAGGAGAAGATAAAATAGATGAATGAGACCTTCTAAGAATCAAATCCCTATGCACATCCAAAAACTTCTCCAACAGGGTAAAAAGGAAAGCCACAGATTGGGAAAAAATATTTCGTAATGACATGTTAGACAAGGCACCTATATCTAGAATTTATAAAAACTCAAGCACCACAAAAAAGATAAAGGTAAATAACCCAATTGAAAAATGGACACAAGATATAAACAGACACTTCACCAAAGAAGACATTCAGATGGCCAACAAACACATGAAGAAATGAAATGTTCAAAATCCCTAGCTCTAAAAGAGATGCAAATCAAAACAACTATATCATCTCACCTCATTAAGAATAGCAAAATTTAACAGAACAGCAAACAACAAATGCTGGCAAGATTGTGGAGAAATAGGAACCCTTATTCATTGTTGGTGGGAGTGTAAAACGGTGCAATCACTATGGAAGGTAGTAGGACACTTTCTCAAAAAATTGGAAATAGAAATACCTTTTGACCCAGCAATTCCACTACTGGGAATTTACCCTAAAGAAGCCATAACCGCATCCAAGTAGATATATGCATACCCATGTTTATTGTGGTTTTGTTTGCAATAGCAAAGAGTTGGACACAACCCAAGTGCCCATCAACAAACAAATGGATAAAGAAGATCTGGTATATTCACACAACGAATACTATGCAGCATTGAAAAACAAGGAACTCAAGAAATATTATACAGGTGACCCTGGAGGACATTATGCTGAGTGAAATATCTCAGTCACAAAAGGACATATTGCATAGGGCCACTGTTGTAAAATGTGACTGACATTGGAATTGAAGGAAGACAGAGAAAGAGGAGATGAATGATGTATACTGCATTAAAACAGGTGAAGGAGAGAACTGTTTAAAAAGGATATATGATTGGATATTATTATTATGACAGGAGTCCAGAATGAAGGCTGCACAGTGGAGTGGGGGGACCTGGGGGTAGGGATTGCATAACAAAGAAAGAGTTTTTCTTTCACTTAGAGTGAACGAGGGGGCGAGGGAGGGCTTGGAGAAAAGTGCAACAATGAATAAATGGAAACCCGAAGTCTTTGTAAACTTTCATTAAAATTAATTTTTTAAAAGGGCAGCATAAATATTTGAGAAAATAATTTCCAAATTTTATTAAAAATAACCCACAAGTCTGAAAAATCTCTGAAATCAATGCAGAAAAAAAAACACAAAGAAAATGACACCTGGGTGCATCAGAATGAACTTGCTAAAATCTAAGGATAAGGAGAAAATATTAAAAGCAGCCAGCAGGAGAAAAGATGCATTATACATACAGAAAAAATGATAAGAATAATGTCTTTCTTCATCAGAAGCAATGTGAACCAGAGACAATGGAGCAAAATCTTTAAAATGCTGAGAGAGAAAACACTGTCAGCATAGATTTCTATAGGCAGCAAAAACATCCTTCAAAAATGAAGGTGAAATAAAGACATTTTCAGCTAGATGAAAGTTGAATTTGTCACCAGCAGACATGTACTACAAGAAATATTAAAGGAAGTTCTTTAGACTGAAAGAAAATACCATCAGATAGAAACTTGGATCCAAACAAAAGAGCAAAGAATGCTGGTATGTGGGTAAAGCTAAAAGCCCCTTTCCTGTCATTCTTAACTTCTTGAAAAGAAAAATTACTATTTAAAGCAAAAATAATTGCTGTGTGTTGTTAGGCTTGTAAAATATGTAGATATACAATAGCTGACAACAACAGTACAAAGAATAAGAGCAAAGTAAATGAAACATATCCCTGTAAGGTCCTTATGTTATACACTGAGAGGTATAATATCAGTTCAAGATTAACTATGATAAGTTAATGATGCATATTTAATGCCTCGAGCAGCCACTAGGAAAATAAGGCAAACAAGTCTTATTTCTAAAAAGGCAACAAAGGAAGCCTAATTCAAAATATGGTAAGAAAGAGGGAGTAAAGAACATAGGACACAAATAGAAAAGAAAAAACAAGTTAATAGTAGACTTATAACCAACCATAGCATAAAATTATGCTTGATATTTCAATTAAAAGATAAAGACGGTCAAACTAGATTTAACAACCAAAAACAAAAACAAGAGCCAACTATGTAGACTATAAGACACATTTTGTTTAGAAGAGAAGACACATATACAATGACACACTAATCATAAAACATGGTGACAAAATTTATATTTAAATAGACTTCAAAATGGTAGTACTAGAGAGGGAGAGGGACATTTCATAATGACGGTCATGTAATCAAGAAGAAATTAGAATACTAAATATCTGTGAGGGGAGAAAAGTGCAACAATGAATGAATGGAAATCCAAAGTCTCTGAAAATTTTCACTGAAATAAATAATAAATTTTTTAAAACTTGACAACACAACAACAAAAATACAAATAGCACAAACATAAAATAAAACAAATACATAGAAATCTTATCTATGCTTAATTTATGTTAACTGAGAGGAATGACTCAGAAAAAGAGGGTGAGAATGATTATCCAACTTTAAACTTTAATTAATACCATGGACTTGTATATATATGAACTGTTGAATTTATATGTTTTTTCATTATGTTCT